GTCTTAGAAATAAATGTATATAAATTAAATGTACTTAAAAACTAAGAGGGCAAGTCACGGCAAGACCTGTCAAAGAATAAAAAAAAATAAAATAAAAAAAATAAAATAGAATCAAAATTTAAAACCAGTTTTATAGTAGAACCGATTAAACTTGGTTCAATAAATAAAAACTAAACTAGTTCTAAATATTAAAGTTATAATGATAAGAATATAGAAGATCTAAGTGACTGAATTAGTATAGTACGAGCTGAAACAGTATTATAATAATTGCTAACCCTAACGCTATATATATCAGTATGGTACAATTTAAAATTTGACCTGTTCTATACTTCATACTCATCAGTCATACTATACTGATATTCATAACTTCTAAAGTAATACGTATCAAGAAAATATTTAACTAGAAAAGTATTACGACTTTGTATACTATGCTATATAAATAGTAGTGGAATGTCAAAAGAATCATAAATATATTTGGTATCTTGAGCACTAATTAGAATATGTACATGCGAACATGTATCGATATATGTATAGCAAAATAAAATATAAAAAAACTTCCTTTTTTAGTAAGATTGCATATTTTTTAAGCATATATAAAGTTATACAATATCATTATGACATCTTTATTATATTTTTACACTCTTTGTTAATTCTTTGAATCTAACAATATAAAAGACAACTGATAGCACTTAAATAACTTCATAGCAATAGTAAAGCGATAATACAAATTGCAAATAAAAATTTCAGTGTGTTACTCTCAATACAATGAATTTGTTGGTGTTAATAAAATAAACTGAATTGTTAAAGCAATTAATCATTAACTAATACTAACTACATACTATATAATTACTAACCTTTATCATTATAATTGCATAATTAAAGATCAACAGAACAAGTTTTGGCATAATAATTAGATTGCTTGCAACAAGAACAAAGGTGTGTATCTTTTTTTTTCTTAGTATTTGATTGTGTATTTTTCATTTCAAGAGAACTTTTAATGTGTTCAACTTTTGGAGCTTCTTTTTTCTTTTTGGTTTAGTTATAGGATTTTAAACAGTAGAAACATCAAATGGTGCAATATTTTTTTAATCATTTTCACTAGATTCTTCATCTTGAATTTCTCTTACAATAGTATTAGTAACTAATTGTTGTTTAAAATTTACAGAATGTTGTCGAATAAAGTCTTCCAAAAACTTATTAAGAGTTTTTATTACAGTTAAGCCAGTATTTAATCCAATAGCTATAGCTTTCTTACAAAGACCATTTGTAATTCCATATGCACATCGAGTATTAAGTATTTTTGATGTGTTAAGAGAAATATCTGAACTTGGGTGTATAAAAGTAAAATCCAATATGAAGTTGGAAGTTAAAACAGCACTTCTATTTTTATAAATAATAGGTGGTTGAGATTTTAGTAATTTATCTGGTTTTGAATAGTGTTTATCTTTATATCAATATCATAGAATTATAAGAATTTGAAAAGCAGCAACTTGAGAAATTGTCATAATCTTTGTGAAATAGTAACAAAAAAGACCCTAATTAATAAGCCGCATGCAAGTACAGATATGGTTATCATTTTCAAGTATAATAACATAGTTTTTATAAGATCCTCAATAACAAGTGATTTCCCGAATTTCTTAAATAGATAATGTTAGCAAATTTATAATAACTCATTGATAGTTATTGCTAGAAAGTCATCAAGATCTTCATAAAAGCCTGACTTACTTTTTTCTTGAAACAGATTAATATTCAAACTTTCTTGAGAAATTAATGTTGAGCTATACCAAAGAGCTTCTGCTATTTTAGCTCTTTGTAAAGATAAAACAGGTAGCATCAAAAATTCAGCAAGCTATTCATCAATTTTGGGCAATAATTGAGCTAATGCAGTTATTTGAGTAGATTTAACATGAATATTAGACCAACTATTATAGCAAATATATATTGATTCCTGAGCAAAATGAGTGTTCAAATATTTACAAGTTCAGATAAACTAGTTTTGCTTGTTATACTAGATTTGACAATTGCATTAATACTTTCTACCCATTGTTTAGATTAAACTCTGACAGTAAACTTATTTGAAATCCAGGCTAGTACACATTGTTCTTTAGTACTGTAATGGAAGTGTCAGATATTAGCTAATATTGTAGGGTAAGGGAGGTAGACAAAATTCCAGGTCTAAATTATACTTATAACCAATCAGAATAACTAAACTTCTCAGAAGGAGGGGAGGGGGGTGAGCTCTGTAGTAAACTAATCTTAGCTAATATCTGATACATCCCTAAAGTGTTCATTTAAGATACGATTTTGTAGTTGGATATTTGCTAATAAGCAAATTTCATTCAGATTCAAAGTCTTGTTTCGACAAACTATTACACATTTTGTACCAGTCTTTTATAAACCCATCCCAGTCTGATCCAAGTTTATTTTTAGATTTTTTGAAAAATTTTGGCTGATGTAATATATGCAGTTCATTCTATAAGTTTCAGGTATAATGTTTTTAATAGTAGCTTTATTTGCAAGATCAGAATCAGTAACAAAAACATGTGGTTAACATTTGGTAGATTCCAAAAGCTTAGAAAGTACCTATTCAAAACTAGTAGTAGTTTTGTCATTCATCAATGCTTGGGTAACAAGGTGGCTTCGATTATAATTATCTATACATACAAAGAGACTAAATGTTATATTGAAACAATTCATACTATATGTGTTGTCATTTATAATAACATCGTAATAGTGAATCCATGTTTCAACCTAGCTAGGCTCTATCCAGAAAAGCAATTTCAAAGAATTAGAGATAGGATCTAGCTTCCAATAAACAACCCAATTTGGGTCCTGTACTTTGTTATTAAGAAGTATTTTTAGAAGATTAGATGCTTTATTAATGATATTATTACGTTGCTTGAATAAATATATTGTATTTGATAAATCTCGTAATAAAAAAAATATATTGGGGTACTTGTCTTCAAGTAAGGAAAGCTGCATTCGCATATTTAACTCTTTTGAAGTAAAATACTCAATTTATTTTTTTACTTCTTCAGGGAATTGCTGATAGTAGGGGATAGTGTCAGAATGGATTTTATGATTGATATGTTCAAAATAACAAGAAGTAATCTTAATTTTTTTAGTCGATTTTGAACACGTTGCATTAACCAACCATTTACACTCTAATCGCTTTGTTTGAGACTGCTTTTAACTTTCTAGATTAGCTGTTTTTTTCGAATAACCTGTGCAGGCATATTGATACCTTCTATGAGTAGTACTATCAGATTTGGATCCAACAATAATTGATACAAAGCCATTTTGCTTTGCATACATTTTAATATGATAGTCAAGCTATTTCTAATTTAAAAATACTAAATTAGAAACAATCTCAAGCTTTTTTTGATCACGAAAGTCAATATTTTGATCTTTGTCCATGTTTGAATCTTTATTCATATCTGAATTTTTGTTAATATCTAAATCTTTGTTCATGTCTGATATACCAGAATTAATCAATACACTATTCTTTATATGGGGTTGAGTCAATAGAAACCAAGCAAATCTTTTTTAGTAAGTTTTTTTAAAATTTTAAACAAGAATAACCTTGATCAAATTCAGTAAATTTTTTTTAAATTAATTCTACAAGTTTATAAAAATCATTTAAAAAAATTTTTATTATATTTGGTTAAGTTTTTGTTAAATTATTCTTGTTTAAAGTTATAAAAAATTTTTACTATAAAAAATTTGCTTGATTTCTATTGACTCAACCCCATATTATTAGTAGGCATCATTTCAAAAGTATTTTCTTGTTGTATAGAATAGATGAAAAAACTTGTAAACTAAAAACTGGTGATACCTCATTATCTAATATAGGCTGTGGATATATAAGATACATAGGAAAAACTGAAGTTTGTAATATTTCACTATTTGAATATGCAAAACACATAGAAAAAACTTGCGAACTAGAAGCTAATAATATTTTACTATTTGAAATAGGTTGTGAATGCATAAGATATATAGAAGAAACTTGTAAACTGGAGGTTGGTAATATCATCTACTTAATATAGGCTGTAAATATATATGGTGTATAGAAAAACCTTGCAAATCATAGATTGATAATATTCTATTATTTGATATAGCTTGTAAATATTTAAAAAACTTAGAAGAATCACTATTTGATATAGATTATAAACTTTGCAGTTGGTGTTGAAAAGCTTGTAGAAAAATAGTAAGCAGTATTTCTGTATTTAATGAATAGTTTAACCTTTCAATAGCATATTATTCATATTACGAATACCTGACCCAAATATCTTAATTCGTCAACTTGTAGTTTTCTTTGTGAACTTAAATGAGATTAATGTATTACTATAGTCTAATATAATTTTTCTAGGCTTTACTAGCAATTTATACTTGAAGGTATATATGCTTTTTGTTTTGACTTGTGATGGTATACTTTGTGAAAGACTGGTAAAATCCTTGTAAGATCAATATTTCATATATTACATAATAGCAAATACTATAGAATCTCCAAGATATGTAACAAAAGACTTGTGGATATAGGATCTCATGTATTATGTAGTCAGCAAGTTTTTTTGTAATTTTGTATAAGAGATTCTTGAAAAGGTATATATATGTTTTGTCTTTATTTTATTGATCTCTTTCATTTGTTGCAATAAAAAAAAAGAACTATATACAATTATAAGTGCTAATATAAAACTTTTGAAGTTTTGGGGCAAAGGTATATATACATTTGCTTTATCCTATTGATAGTTTTGTTTGTTAAGATAAAAAGAAAGAACTAATATTGAATCTTTCATTTGTTGCAGTGAAAAAAATATATATATGCAATGATAAATACCAATACGAAACTTTTATAGTTTTTGGGCCAAGATATATATACGTTTGCTTTATCTTATTGATACTTTTATTTGTTGAGACGAAAAAGAAAGAACTAACATACTATTTTTTTCTATATATATGCATTTTCGATTATATCATTGATGTTATATGCTATTTTTATATAATAATGATCACTTTTATTAATATATTATTTATGGTCATAAAATCAATTTGTAACTGTAGGTTACAAATTGATTAATTCAAAGTTTAATTGTATTCGATTCCTTTTTGTTAAGGTTTATTGGTTGACATGAACAATTTTTTTCATAAATTTTTGTACAAACTAAAGCATACCAAATATTTTTGAACAAGCATTTGAACAAAAATTTAAAATCATTGATATTATTGTTATGATAATCATAAAATGATTATTAATTATTTTATTATACTAATATTATACTAAATCAATAATTTAACCAGATTGGTAGAAAAATTATTTGGGCAAATTTTTACAGGTATCTTAGGAATTATTATAATAGTTATAATTTGGCCAAACTTCAATATAATGATATGTATATTATTTTACAGTTATATAGTATACAATTTTTATCTATTATTTTACAATATTACATACTACAAACAAAAACTTCAAGAAAAATTTTATATGAATCAGTAATAACACTGATTATATATATATATAAGATATATAAATACTTGTAAAAGGGAATAAAAACAGTATTCAACTACTAAACCAGAACTTATTAAATCTAAATACAAAATTATCTAAGAACCCAAACTCATATCTATGATCTATAAATCCAAACTTAAAACCAACCCAATTTTAGAATGCTTTAACCCTAAATTTCTTATTGCTAATACTGCTAACAAGTTTATTCTGCTTCAAAAACCAAATTTAAATTTCAATCTTTTGTTATAGAGTAAAGCCTTCTTAATTTACTCTATAACGACAACACGATACAAGGAATCCTTTCATAGGTATATGCAGTGTCCAAGAGGTAAGTATAGCTTCTTTTCCCTTTAAGAAACTATACTCTTCTCTAAGGCAGTTTGTGGGAAAATACAATAATAATAATAACTTATTAACACAAGAGAGAGATAAACCTTGCCTGTAGAAATTACCCTAGAGGGGGAATATCTAAACAGT